TGTGTTGACCGTGAACCGGAAGTGCTGGGAGTGGCATCAAGTGCTGGGCCGGATGTCCGTGACATATAGGCTATTGAACCAAGTTTTGAATTTTTGGCCCCTTTATGTAACAGAGTTCTACCCCGTCTGTATTACACCGTCACTTTCTGACTTCTTAATCGCTGCAGCTCAGATTCTTGTCCTGATCCGCAATCGGTGAATCAGCAGACAGAATGACTCAATAAGAGGCTTTTTTTTTTTTTTTTTTTTTTGCTGCAGCTCAGTAATCCCAGGAGTGTGATGAAGGAAGGAACGAGCAGCAGAATCGATGCATGTTCAGTGAGCGGCTCTGAAAACTCTGAACAGTGAAAGAAACGGTTTCTCATCGCTACAGAGCTGCTTTCTATCTGACACACGTCTACAGTTTAAACAGTCCAACACAAATCCCCCACGCCCCCTGGCTGGAAATCTGTGCAGCATCAGTTCCAACAAAGGAGAGTTCAAACACAGCATCCCTTACAGAACTTTTGTCAAACTTTTGGRCAAGTGTGGCCCGCCACGGCATTTTATGTGGCCCGCAAGAGCTTCAAAGATGTATTAATGTGAAAGAAATCGAGTGTTCAAAGTACAAGCCTGAATTACACACAGGAAGTTCAACTTGAGTATTCATTGCACGTGCAAAGATCACCACATGCTGCTTTAAAGTCAGCATTGACCATACACTTACATCTCCCATGATGCATGTTTATTATTTTACCTGCGTAGGTGGAGGAGCACTCGGTTCTAATGTAGCTGGCAGTCAGCTAAGTGTAAATTCTACATTTTGCTGAGTTTTCTCGAGCTACTTTTGCTGTGGCCCAGTCGTACTGGGAAGTGGGAATTTCCCACTCATAAATTTAAACTGAAATGCCCGCTCTTGTAAGAATTCCCTGTCAGAAAGTGGGGGATRTCAGAATCCAAGATGGCAGCTACTCACCACAATTCAACAGYGMGTACARCTCTCTTTTACTTTTAATAGTATTTCTGTATTTRTTTCACATTTAGTCAGTCATACACGTAGTTCTTTTCAGTGTTYATAAGAGGACATGTTACAACGCTGTTYCTATGCAGGACATACCACATGGAGCTCAGTTGTTGTTAGCTAGTGGTGCTCAGCTGTAGCAACAAGATGAGGAACGTGACTTTCTGTTAKTTTAGTCGAAGTGAAACAAAACTTCTGAGTTAATTACARCTGGCCCTTTGAGGGCCACCATGATTCATATGTGGCCCTCTGAAAATGAGTTTGATACCTCTGCCTTAAAGCAAACCTGCTGATTCACACACACACACACACACACACACACACACACACACACACACACACACACACACACACACACA